CGGGTCTCGAATCGCGGGCTCAGGCGATCCACTCACCTCAGCCTCCCAAAGGCGCCGAATGACAGGCTGAGCCACCGAGCCTGGCAAGCAGCGAACTTCTAAGGAGAAACCTGGCCTTCTTCCCCTGCCATGCCCCCAGGGTCCCCCTCCTGTGGGCACTGGAGGACCAAGCCACGCCTCCAGCTGAGAAGCAGCTAGGAAGACTCAGGGGGACCAGGAACAGGAAGCAGCTTCCCGCTTCCCCCCGGGGAGCCAGGCTGGCGGCAACCTGGAGACCCAGAGGAGGAGCTCCTCCCAGGAAGGGGTCGAGGAGCAGGCCGGGGGAGGCGGGCCCCTCACCTGGGCCCGGGAAGAGCAGTAGCTCACTCGCGGCGCTGGCAGACAGCCCGGCGGGGGCAGAACAAGGGCCACCCCAGGTCTTGGCACACACCTCCCTGAGGCCGAAGAGCCAACCCCAGCCACGGGCAAGGCCGAGGAGCCACGCCCTCCCAGGGCGGACTGAGGAACCGTCCCCAGACCTGTCAGTTCTGGGCCCCGAGTCCACCTGAAGCCCAGCACGAGGCTGAGCAGAAGCCAAGCGCAGGCCGCAGCGGAGGCAAAGCTGCGTGGCCTTCCTGCCCTGGGCCGCCCTGGACGAGGGGCTGCTGGGGCTCAGGACGAGGCTGTGGCCCAAACCAGGCAGAGGGTCTCTTGGGCAGGAGTGGCGAGGCCGAGGCTTCCGGGAGGTGGTCCTGTTGAAGACATCGAGGCAAGCAGAGGTCTGCGCTGTGCCTGCTCCTTTCTTTCTTTTTTGAGGCGTCTCACTCCGTCACCCCGGCTGGAGGGAGGAGCACGCTCCTGGCCACCACAGCCTCCACCTGCTGGGTTCCAGCGATCCTTCTGCCTCAGCCTTTATTTATTTATTTTTTTTGTTGGAGTCTCACCGTCACCCAGGCTGGAGTGCAGGGGCATGCTCCCAGCCACTGCAGCCTTGACCTGCTGGGCTCCGGCAATCCTTCCGCCTCAGCCTCCCAAGTAGCCGGAACTACAGGTGCATGCTACCACGCCCAGGTAATTTTTGATTTATTGTAGAGATGAGGTCTTGCCAAGTGGCCCAGGGGGTCTTGAACCCGCGGGCTCAGGCAATCCACTCACCTCAGCCTCCCGAAGGTACGGGATTACAGGCTGAGCCACCGAGCCCGGCCTGCCTCAGCCTTTCAAGTAGCTGGAACTACAGGCACACGCCACCACACCCAGCTAATTTCTAAAAAAAGTTTATTGTAGAGATGACATCTTGTCAAGTTGCTCAGGTTAGTCTCAAACTCAGGCAATCCTCACCTCGGCCTTCTAAAGTGCTGGAATTATAGGCATGAGGCACCGGGCCCGGCCTGTTTTTCTTTTCTTTTTCTCTTTGGGTCAGAGTCTCACTCTGTCACCCAGGCTGGAGGGCAGGGGCACGCCCCCGGCCACCGCAGCCTCGACCTGCTGGGCTCAGGCTATCCTTCTGTCTCAGCCTTCCAAGTATCTGGAACTACAGGTGTGTGCCACTGTGCCTGGCCCATTTGATTTTCCTAACCTTCTATTCCCCACCTGTAAAATGGGAACAATATTAGCACTTTCCTATGGGGCTATGAGAAGCATTAAGCGAGGGATTATGGGAGGACCAGGAGAGCACCTGGAACCTTAAACGCTCATAGACATCGATTCTCCTGATTGGGAGTGGGCGCTTTAGCCGAGAGATCCAGACCCAACCACTTCCACCATAACCACAGCTGCGACACCCTCAGCTGTTCAAAACCACACAACTGCAGATCCATCAAACTGTGCGTATATTTCACACACATACACTCCTTGAAAACTGCCCCAGAAAAGAGGAGCATTGCACACATAAGTCTCCCGGCGGCCCCCTCCAGCCCTGAGGCACCTTCCCTGATCTCCGTGTCCCGGAAAGGATTTCCTGTGTCAGTGACACCGAGGCCCTGTCCGGATGGCCTGATGCCTGGAGGTGGTGGTCACAGGTCCCGAGGCGGAGTCGGGGGTGGAGTACCCGGATCCCACAGGACATCCTCGTAGGGGCTTAGAGCTTGGCCCGGGGGCTGTCCTTGAACCCCGGCCTGCTCCAGCAGGGCCCTGAGCAAGCCCACGGTGAGCTGGGGCTCAGCCCCGGGCTCGGGGAACGGGCTGGGAGGCCCCACCTCATCCGGGAGGTACATCCGCAGGAGAAGCAGGAGCTCGGCTGGAGCCAGTTCCGGTGGGCATAGGCGGCACAGACGCGAGAGGTGGGCATCGAGTTGGCGGTGCTGGGCAAACTCCGCCAGCAGCAGCTTGAAGATCTCGCCTCGCAGCAGGGGGCTTGAGGGGCCGAGCGCCAGGCCGGCGTCCAGGGCCCGCTCCCAGCGCTCCTTGCGCACCAGCTGTGCCATGGCCTGGAGCACGGCGTGGGGCCGCCCGCTGCCCAAGAGCAGCTCCAGCCGCAGGGCCTCGGGCCTGGGCCCCTCCCCACCCAGCACCGCCAGGGCGCGGCGATACAGGGGCGGCCCCGGGCCTCCTGCCCCCCAGCCCGGCCCACCCTGCTGCTGGGCCAGCTCCACAAAGGGTGGCAGCCAGCGGGGCTCCAGCTGGCACAGGCACTGGCACAGGAGCTCGAAGGGGGGCAGTGTCCCCTGGGGGGGCTCCTTCCCAGCCGCTGTGCCCCCCAGCACCTTCTTCCACACGTCTGGGGGCGCTTGGGACCTCAGCCGGCCACTCCCATCCGGCTGGAGCTGCAGGGCCCTGAGGGCGGCACCCCAGGCCGCCGAGGGGAGGGCTCGGAATACGTCGTTGAGCTGGGCCAGCTGGTCCTCCCGCAGCTCCGTCCTCAGCAGGCGGGCCACCTCCTGCTGGGCCAGCTCCGTCCAGCCGGCCTCCTCCTCATCCCCAGCCACCAGCCGGGCCTTGAGCTGCTCCAGGCTCCGGTAATCCCGGAGCTCGGTCCTCAGGGTGGCCAACAGCGCAGGTGGGGGCACGTGGCCCTGGAGGATGGAGGCCAGTGCCTGCGGCGCCCGGAACGTGCCGTTGCGCCTCAGTTCCTCTGGGGTGAGCTGGGCACCGCGCAGGCTCCGGCGCTGGTAGTACCCGCAGGCCTCCTCAAACACCAGGTCCTTGGCTGGGGGCGGCTCGACACCCGGCGGGGCTTCCCAGCCCACGCGGAACAGACCCAAGGCCGAGAGCAAGCGAAGCCCCCCCGGGCCCTCCGGCTCCTCGACATTGTCCAGGCCAGGGCAGGGGGGCTCCAGCAGATGCACCCTGTCGGTACTGAGGACCTTCCGCTCGAGCAACTGCCCGCTGCCCAAGTCCAGCAGCTCCAGGGTGGAGCCCAGCACGCAGGCCAGAGTGCTCTGAAACGTCCCCAGGGCCGCAGAGCCCCGCGGGCCCGCCGGTGCCGCCTGCAGGGTGCCCACCG